TACCACATATGTTTCTTGCTTGCACAACATGCTTAATCAAGTAAGCCCTTCATTGAATGCCCTTCATTTTCTCCCATTTCTCCCAGTCTGTTTCATTAGGGACCCTTTTATTGCTTTCCCTGGAAAGGGAGGGGGGCTCACAGTTTTGTCCTAAGGTCTTGCTGCCAAGTTTGGATAACTGACAACTGGTATCGATGGGGAACCATCTCCCATGACTGGCATTTAATTGGCTATACCAAAGGCAAATAGGCTCTGACCACCAATGGTCTCAGTGTGGGGGCCTTTTGGCCTTTGTATGAACAGCTAGTGAGGCCTTTCCTCTGATCCTGCACATTCCTTTTTTGTGGGTTTTGTGGCCATCTCCTTTCCTGATTACTTGCCTTGCAGGCAGAGGCAGCAGGAGTTGTCCTCATGAAGAGAGATTCCCATTGGGCTAAATCTTCCCAAGGGAAAGGAGAGGGAAAAAAACCTGATAGAAAAAAGATTAACTGAGAATTGAGTAACACAAGGGCAGACAATTAGTTTAGCTCCAGTTTCTGGCTGCCCTTCATTCACATCAGCACTTTTGCTAGTCAGGACCCACCGTTCAAATGGGATGGCTGGTTTCAGTTGGGGATGGGACTACTTTCTTGTAGAGGAACATTTCTCATGGAAAAAAAAAACCCTGTGTAGCACAGATCCAGTTAAGAAAGTGGTCAGTCAGGACAGCCCTTGTATGCCCCTTACAATTAATATTGATAGAAAATATTTTGGTGGAAAAAAATAGTGATAAAAATTAGTACACTGACTGAGCCATTAATTCCACATCAAAACAAATTTCCTACAACACTGTAAGTTTGATTTTACTTTTTATTCTTATGCAAAGAGGGGTGTGTGTCTAAATAATAGAAATAAAAGATGTGGCTTGTCCAACTCTTAAATTTTGCTTGGCCTAGCTTTATACTTCAGCTCAAAAAAAAGTCTTTAATTTCTCTTGCAGAAGATCTTTATGTTCTGTTCAAACTCTAACCTGGCTTTCCCAGCCTGGAGTCCTCCAGCTGGCTTACCTACTATTCCATAACCACTGGTCCAGTAGCCACTGACCAGTAGTTCAGAAAAATTGGAGGGCAGGAGGTGACAGAAAGCTGCCAGTTTCTCTTTCCCTGCCCCTGCCCTTTATTCTACTGAGTCTTAGCTGCAAGGTGTTGACCCAACTCTTCTCCAAGACCACTCAGAAATAAGCTGATTTAATGCACTAACTAACATTTACTTGCATGTACAGAATCGGGCATACATAATTGTAGATCACTTCGCCCAATTATGTGGGGATAGAAGTCATAAAAATAAGTTGGGCTTACTCCTGAGCAGTCAAGCATAGAACTGCACTCTAAGACAAGATTGCACCTACCAGCACGTTCAACATACTTATATTGAACCCTGTTAATTCTCATTAACTACATTGGACTTAATAATTAGCATGCACTAAAATTAAACTCAACTCATTTCTGAGCAGGTATGCCCAGGTTGACCAGGTAAGGTCACTTTTAGTAAGCACATTTATTTGGACACAATTAGAGTCTATTACTGTGTAGACCTGCCAGGGTAAGACTTTGGGGCAGAAGTCCAGGATCCCGCTGAGCAAAGTGAACAAGAAGGGGCCAAAATAGAGCAGCCCTGGCTTGTTGCACGTTGAAAACAATTAAGTAATTTCATGCAAACCAAGCACATTTTTAGCTCAGCCTGTTTATGATTCAGGGTACTCAGAGAAGCCTGAACATTGAATTAATTCAGTCACCCATGGTAAAGCTAACTCGGGGTAAGCAAGCCCTACAAATGCAACCTCTGACATTTAATTGGGAGTGGGTGGGAGTTAAGATAATTAAGCCCAGTTATCCAACTTTCCTGCAGTGGTGCTCTGCTGGATGACAATTTCTGCTCTATTCAAATAAATGGAAATTCTGTTTTGGAGTTCAAGAGAGCAGAGTCCTGTCCCTTTCACAATTTCATTCTTACAGCTCACTCCTTCTTGACCATTCATTTTTGGGGGATATTGATGTAGATGGTGAACAAAAGATCAGACCTGTATTCTTAACTTTTCCCACAGTACTTCCTAGAATATTTGTTTGAGATTCCTTTTTTCAACTCAACACTTATCTCCTGATTGCATGAAGTCAACTCAAGTTTTCTCTGAGACTTTTGATGACCTCATGGACACGTCCATACAGTTTTGAAAGGAACAATAAGGAAGTTATTTGCTACTGTCTCCCTCCGGGATGCTTTATGCTTTTTCAACTTCTCAGACTAATCTGACTTAACATCAGCAGAGAATCCCGCTGTCCTGCGCTTGCGAGTTCCAAAAAGAAAGAAAAAGGAAGTGACACAAGTAAGTGCACACACGCAGGCTTATTTCATTTGTTTGGGTTTCTCTGCTCTGTGGAACTGCCTTGTAGTTCTTTCAGGTTCTCCTTAAATGAAGAGAGACTTACTCAGTCTCAAAGAACACCTTCCCTGTCTCTCTATTGCTCTTGAATTTGGATGTGTGATGGGCAGGTACATGAAGGGGTTTCTTTTCCTTCATCCCTAATTCAAAAGTAATGTTTTTTTTAAAAAAAAGCAATGAAAGGAAAGTTCCACCTCCTGTCCCTGGGCAGAGAAAACAGCCATGAAAAAAATGCAGGCAGCCAATGGTGTGATGGGGATGGGGATTTCCAAAATCTGGATTCCATCCAAGAGGATGGTGGGTTGGCCCAAGCTTCAAAGGAAAACAGAAGGGGCAGAGAAATTTTTTTTCTTCCCTCTCCAAGCCTGCCTGGAGATCAGCACTTTGTGATTCTCAAGTTTAGTATCAGAATCATTTATTCAGCTCATCCAATAAGGGGGGGGACCTCAACCTCAAGAGATCACGTGTTGAAGCAAGCACTTCCTACTAAATCCCGCCTATCTTTGTGGACACCCCAAACTTGATATTCTTCAATCTTTTCACCAAGAGATACAGCACCAAGTCTCTACCTTTCTTAGCTCTCGGTTAACTTCAATTAGTTCCTTCTCCCATCCTCCTAGCATCTTCAAATATTGTATCTCTTTGCTAGGTTCCTTTTGGAGCTGGGTGAAATCAATACATTTAAAACAGGGAGATTTTAGAGAAGATTTCTCCCCAGAAGAGTTGAGGTCCACGAGTCATAAAAGAGCCAAGGTTGACTACCCCTGCTGTAAGGCATGAAATGCCTTCCTTAGCAAAAAGGAAGATATATAGGCAAAGGTTTTAATTCTAGACTTGCTGAAGGAACTCAGTAAAGTTTACTTTTCAGAAAAAGTGAATGCTGTTTCATCTTAATATTTCATTTTAAAGTATCAATCAACTCTTTTCCTAGTTCTAATATCCCTGAAGAGCTTTATGGCAAAGAATTCCACCTAAGAAGCAAGGAATCCGGGAAAACACCAATTCCTGTCACTGGCAAAGGGAAAATGACAGGAATTGGTGTTTTCCCGGATTCCTTGCTTCTTAGGTGGAATTCTTTGCCATAAAGCTCTTCAGGGATATTAGAACTAGGAAAAGAGTTGATTGATACTTTAAAATGAAATATTAAGATGAAACAGCATTCACTTTTTCTGAAAAGTAAACTTTACTGAGTTCCTTCAGCAAGTCTAAATTAAAACCTTTGCCTATATCTTCCTTTTTGCTAAGGAAGGCATTTCATGCCTTACAGCAGGGGTAGTCAACCTTGGCTCTTTTATGACTCGTGGACTTCAACTCCCAGAATTCCTGAGCCAGCTGTGCTGGCTCAGGAATTCTGGGAGTTGAAGTCCACGAGTCATAAAAGAGCCAAGGTTGACTACCCCCTGCTACAGTCTCTGACAAAGTCGGTCTAGTCTAAATTTTTCCCGACCTTCTCTTCAGGTCTGTCCATCTGTCCCTCACTTCCACCAGACGGCTTTCCAACAACTTTCATTCAAAGATCTGCCCTCTCTCTTTCTCCCCCCCCACCTTTCCCATTGTTAAAAAAATATTTGAACTTGAGGTCTGTCTACCAGAGGGTGGTGGTGGCAGAGAGAAGCTGGGCGGACGGGGCACAGGAGTACAGTCTGGACCTCCCCCCCCCCACCAGCATCCACTCCTCTGAAAGATCCCGGGGAGGTGCCTCTTATTTCCCCTCCCTATCCTTGATAGAAAGAAGGGGTCCAAGCCCTCTCCCCACTCACTCCTCCGGAAGATTTGTCACTGCTCGCCCGTCACAGTGGGGGCTGGCGAAGTTTGACAGCTCTTTGTTGTCTGTAGAGCAGGAGGAGGAGGAGGAGGAGGAGCAGGGGGGGGGGGCTGGTGGCAGTCCTTGGGCGAGGACTCCTCCTCCTGAATTATCCAAACTGGGCTGGCTTCTGGTCTTCCCAACAAATTGGACAGAGCCTCCAGCAAGCAGCAGTCCCGCGGCCAAGCGAGAGCAACAGGAACTTTCTAGCAAAACGGGAGATCTCTTGCTTTAACTTGCCAAACCTTCCCCACCCCCCCCGGGCTCATTTTCCCTATCTTGTTTGGCTTTCCTTTGTCTTTTAACCTCTCCCCCACCCACCCCCGTCCTCCCTTTTCTTTGGCGTGAACCGTTTTTTTCGTTATTGTCGTTGCCGCTGTGCGTCCAAGCCTCAACTTCGTGTCTGCGTTCTCTTTCTTTCTCTTCCCCCCCATCATTTTGATAAATATTTGTTTTAGGACTAATATAACTGAAATGCAGTCTTCGTAGTGAAAACTGGTCTGCACAATTATTCTGCATGGATTGGAGCAGCAGTTACTGATATAGGCAGTGACAACTATCTGGGATTGTCCAGGAGTGAAATGGTTTTGTTATTGTTGCTGTATNCCCCCCCCTCTCCAAGACCATTCCCCTCCAGCCGCCGCTCGGCAGCCTCCCCCAGTCTTCGGCTGCTACCTGCCTGCCTTCCTTCCTTCCGGAGCCACGAAGCTTCTTCTGAGGGCTCGTCCCGCCGCCCGGCGATTCGGATGCTCTAAACCAAGACTCTGGGGCCTGTATATGGAAATAGTGGGGTGCCGAGCCGAAGGCAACGCGTGTCCCTTCCGTTCCCCGGCCATGCTTTTCCACGGCATCTCCGGAGGCCACATCCAGGGGATCATGGAGGAGATGGAGAGGCGGACCAAGACCGAATCCCGCCTGGCGAAAGCGGGACAGATGAATGGCCGGGAAGCGGTAAGGAGTGGCGGGGAAAAAAAGTCGGGAGTTTTCACAGAAGGAAGAGATGAAGGAAGGGTGGATTTTGTGTGTGTGTGTGGGTGTGTGTGTGTGTGTGTGAGAGAGAGAGAGAGAGAGAGAGAGAGAGAGAGAGAGAGAGAGATCCCCTCCCAATCCTAGAAGTAAGGTAAGCGGAACCGCCCAGGGACCCTGGAATGCCTTGTGTGTGTGTGTGTGTGTGTGTGCGTGTGCGCGCGCGTATCTGAGAACGCCCAGAGAAACGTTCAAGTCTCACTTCCAGATATCTTTTTCAAAAGTTTTAACTTGTCTGTTTAAAAGGAGACTAGCCAGTTTCTCCCCCCCCTACTTTATTATTATTTCTCTACATCTGGGTTATTTATTTTTTAAAAAACGACAACAAACAAGCTCAGAGATAAGGCATTACAGCGCGATCGTAAAGATATTTTATTCAGGAGTAAATTCTGTTGAATTGTTAAGGGTCAGGCTTTCAAGACCCCATCTATTTTGTAAGAGTGGGGGTGTTTGTTTGGGTGGACGCGCGCAGGCGGGTGAGCAGGACCCAGCGCAGGACTTCCATGAACATTCTCCAAGGAAAGGGAGGCGTTGCTCCCGAATAAAACTGATTAGAGTCGATTTGCCACCCTTCTTCCCCTGATCGCCCGTCTAGTTTTCTCCCGCTAACTTTCCTCTTTTCAAAAGTGTTTTAAGGTTTTTGGATTCTACCCTTATTGCTTGAATATCAAGCCTCGGTTCCTTCATAAGCCCGGCCCCTATCACGGTTGGGAAGCGAATTTCAAGAAAGTTCGCCTAGTAGAAAATGTAAGCTGCGACTTGCCATCTTGAAAACGAGGCGTTTGAAACTGTCGCTTTCAAGGCAGTTTCACGAAATGAGAAATAAACCTCGCGAGGCTCAATGTCGTTTTCTGCTGAGTAAGTTTGGGAAGGAAGGCTTTTAATGAGAGCCTCTAAGAAGAAAGGGCTGCCAAGGAGCAAGAGAGTCTAAACCCAACAGGCTTCAGAACGAAATTGTTTATAGAAGATTTGAGGGCTACCAAATTTACTCCCAAATAAGTTCAATACCTTTTGGAACGACTCCGGCGTCTTTTATATTCCAAATCATTTGTGAAAAATAAGTGCAACAGGAGAGTATTATGCATTTTGGTGGCTTTCAAACGGATTAATTTTAGTTACATTGTTCGGATGCTGCTGGAGATTCGTTCTAACTTCTTGTATTGGAAAGAAACAAACGTTTATTTTTCTAGCTCCAACTTGTAAAAGTAGCACCGAGGCTGAGCCAAAATCGACAAAACGGAACAATCTCCCTCCCACTCCACCCTCAGATTTATTTTTCTCTTAAAATGCCTAATAATTGGAGTCTTCTGAGCGTTAAGCAGAAAAACAGAAGTTTCTTAATAGATTCCAAAACTCTAAATTAAGTGGAGGAACTCCAGCGGCAAGAAAAGGGATTTTTGTGTGTGTGTGATGGGTAAATAAGGACGTTTATTTCCTTTGCTCCGAAATCTCAGGATGTCCAGTGCATTCATGAAGAATGTAAGTAAGGGGTCTACCAAAAGTTATTATTCTTTGAACTGGACTCTCCTCCATGCACAGCAGAGACCAAATTCATTAAGGCAACGGTTTCGTAATCATTTCAGTTTCTTTATGCTTTATGGGGGAGTGAGAGGAGGAGAAAAACCATTAAGAAGACAAGCAGAGGGGAAAAACAAAACAAAACCCACTGGTTTCATTTGTGCCACCATTCCTTGTGTTTGGTAGGTTCAACCCTCTATATATTTAATTTTGGGAAATTTTTAGTTATTTCCCAAGTGGTCTAAATTTTCCTCTTTCCTCTCTTAAATTCAAAGATAATCTGGAAAAGAATTTTTCAAAATAATGGTTAATTCCCGACTCCAATATAAAAGACTTAACAACCTGTTTTAACAGGCCACGTGCTTGATTTAAACGGTCTTTCTACCCGTTCACCCTCTTAGTGGACATTCGCAAAATCCAGGGAGGAAGGACATTATATATAGCATATATTCCTTTCCCTCCCCCTCCACCTTTTCCCCTTAAGTGAACAACGTCCTTCTGAAGGGAGGGAAAAAAATGAAACGACGTTTCCTTCTTACGTTCCTTATCCTCAATAGTCTTTTTTGTTTTCCTTTCCAAAATGTGTTCTGGAGTTGAGTCCAGGTCAAGAGAATGAAAGTGAATGGCTCGGAAAGTAGACCCCCCACCCCCACCCCCACCCCCAAGCACACTACTTCAAGCTCACGGCCCGATCTGTCCCGGGGCTGTTTTCTCGGGTATAAATCCCCAATCAAGAGGGTGCGTTTTGAAGAGGAATCAGCCGGAATTCGGCCTCTTTTGCGTTTCCAGGAAGCTGTAGCAGCGGAGCCTCTCGCCCTGGCTAGATTTTCTGCCTGGCTCTCGGGGCTCATCCTTCGGCTGCACGAAGGCCGAAAAGGCGATTTTGGTTCGGGACGAAGGAACCAAGAGTTATATCTTCTCTGCGCAGAATGTAAACCCTACCACTGAAACTCAGTCCTGGGGAAAAGGTTAGGATTCAGACCACCACCACTCCTTCTGCAACCCAGTATCTTCCGCGTCAAAACACCGGCTTCTCGCAAAAGCGGCTCCATGTGTATGCAACGGGCGGAGTGAAAGGCAAGCGAGAGGTTGACAGTTCCTGCTTGAGGCAGAGCTTCTCCCAGCAAAACTTCTCTCTGGGAAGCCAACGTGAGCCAGAATATTGACTTCACCCATCGCTTCTTCTAGGGCGGTCCTCAGTTTCTTGAGGACCTAGCCAGCCTTGTGTGAACCCGGCCACCGCGTTCTGCCAACGGAGGGCGAAAAGATGAGTCAGCCCAAACAATTGTGGTGTATTCGGTAAATCCAGCCCGTGGAGGGGATCCGGATTTATTGTGCAGTAAAAAAAAAAATCTCATATCTAACTGTTTTGAACGACATATACTAGACTTCAGCAGGATTTAGTCGCAGGTAATTTTTAATCAGGTGCATGGAATGAAGCTAACGCCCATTAAAATCCACGGGAAGGAAATAATTCCTAGTCTTCTTAGGTCTCCACAGAAACGAAGCGTAACTAAAATACTACACAGACCCTGAGAATATCCAGCAGGTTTGTGTCGAGTAGGTTTGTGTAGAATCGCGCTGTAAACTTTACAGCTAAGGCCCCTTACATATGCCTTCTGATTTTGGTTGGAAATATCTCTGCTATTGATAAAAAAAAAAAAAGCTGAAAAAGTACACCTAATTAGATGTTGAGCTTGTAAGATTTTGCCGGACCCGCTGACGTTTGCTTCCCTCTGCAGAACATGCCTCCGCTGAGCCCCGAGAAGCCTGCCCTGTGCGCAGGATGCGGGGGCAAAATCTCGGACCGCTACTACTTGTTGGCTGTGGACAAGCAGTGGCACCTCCGCTGCCTGAAGTGCTGTGAATGTAAACTGGCTTTGGAGTCAGAACTCACCTGCTTTGCCAAGGACGGCAGCATTTACTGCAAGGAGGATTATTACAGGTAACAGCTTGCAGGATGGGGTGGGGTGAATAAGATGGGGTAGTTGAGATACACGAATGTTTGAACTATCCTGAGAAAAATCATCTCTTAGAGAGCATTCATACATATTTGCAGGTCTCTCTCTCTCTCTCTCTCTCTCTCTCTCTCTCTCTCTCTCTCTCTCTCTCTCTCTCTCTCTCTCTCTCTCTCTCTCTCTCTCACTCACTCACTCACTCACTCACTCACCTGAGGTTAAGTTTATGCAGGCATGAATGTCCTTGGCACTTAACTAGATGCACTGCCCCTTTTGGGGGTGGTAGATTAAGCCTTATAAAGGAATATAGGATTTTATTTCTCACAGAAAATAGAGAAGTGACATCCAGCAGTGAACGGAGTCCCTTTCTCTTCGCAAATGCAAATACGTGGGGAACTAAGTCATTGATTCAATTGTCTTGTTGGAAATTATAGAAAGGCAATTCACAGGGTGCGCGCCCCCTCCCCCCCAATTCTTTCGGACCAAATGTGTGAATTGCCTCTATGAGATAGGAGAGAGAGAGAGAGAGAGAGAGACAGACAGACAGACAGACAGATTGGAAGAAAGGGAGGAGTGTCATCACATCAAGTGTTTAAAATCCTGTCCCAGATACTAAATCTGTCCCTCCCATCATTTCTCACCCCGTCCTTCCAGAGAAGTCTAGATTACAGTGTTTGGCTTGTGGAAGACCATTTGAACATGTGCACATTGCCCTTTGAATTGGATGCGTGTGAAAAGGCCCACAGAAGCACAGGTGGAAAAATCCAGGGCAGAGATCCCTACTGGGCTGCAGGGATGCAAACATTTTACTTACTGCTGGGAAGTAACTGACAAGCAAGAGCTTCTCTGCTCCACTGAGCTTTACAAAATGCCTTCTTCCTATAGGAAGAGGCGGTTGTTTAGAACAGTGACAGGGCAAAAGTCAAGTGACCAGGAAAGCCGCTTGCCAAATACTCCCTCCAAGAATCAGTGCAACATCTCTGCAACACTAGTGACCTCTTACTTGCATTGCACCTGTGAACTCTTACAGATTGTGTGTTCATGCAGTTCGCTTAATCGGGTCAGGAATGCATGAGCAGAGGGATTCGCACAACCTGTTAAACTGGATTAGTGTTAATGTTAGTAAAGGCTGAGTGAATAGCACACACAAGTGCAGGCCATTTTGAATAGGTTATGTTTCAACGTGTTTTGCCTATTCAGAAAAAGGGTTAGCTAAGTAGCCAGGTTAAGAGTCTTTTCCTACCATATCCTCTGCAGCAATTCTCCGCAGTGGGCCCCTGCTGTGTTCTTTCCTGAGTTATGGTTGGAGTGCTGTTGATCTACCCATTCCTTAACTAGGGCTTGGAAGGAAAGAAGGAAAGGCTTGGCACAGAAGCTCTCCTGCTGGGCAGTCTGCTCTACTTTGCTTGTTAATGAGAAACTGCCCTTTGACTAGCCTGGCTATAGCCCGTGTCTGTTAAAGAGATATATTCAGATTTTTTATCAGCCTCCCTTCCCAATGTGCTGAGTAAATATTTCCCATTTTTATTGCTTGTTCCAGCAGAGCCTTGGAACCATTTCCTATTGATTTCACAAAAACTTCTAAGGTGTCCACAAAATTGGCCATGCTTCTTATTTATTCAGCACTAAATCCCTTTGAACTCAGTGAAATCTATTTCCAAGTAAGGATGGGTTAGACCTGCCAATTTTATCTTAAAGTAAGAAAGGAGCCAAGGTATGCTTCATGTTTTAGCGTTATTTTTGATACTTTCAAAAACGTACATTCTTAAACTTAGAATTAACCTTAAGCTTTATTTCCAGTGTTAGCTTTTCTCAAACAACCAAAGAGTGACTTTGAGTTACTGGGCTTTTCAATTTCACAGGATTCTTACTAAAGACCTGTGCCAGTGTAAAGTGTGCTATTATTGGTTATTGTACACACACATACATACACACACCCCAATGCTATTCCACACAGATCTTTTTCAAAGATGACCCATTCATTGAATGGAGCTCCTCTGCAAATGGATAGAAGATTCCCAACATTTATCTGGGGCCAGAGTGGTAGAGCCTGCTTAGGATCCATATTTCATACCCCCAGGCCAAACGCCTTGTCGTGGTAATAAATCCCACACTCAGGGAAGAAGCAAACTTGGCTCCCGGCACATGCAGCCCCCTTTTGCCCGGAGGGGACCAACGCTAAGCTGGTGGGTAGAGAGGCCCACTTTCTTTGCTGTTCTTTGATTTTACACTGCAGGAAAGGAGCTTTGCCCCCCCCTCTCTCTGGTGAATGCTCTCTCCACCTGAGAAACCCCAAAGGAGCTTAGTTATATTGAGTCAGAAAGAGCGCATGCATCCCCAGCACACACAGCATATGCTGCAGAACCAGGACTGCAGCTAATAGGGATATTTTGGGTGGTCACTCTGGGAGTGGAGAGGAGAATGTGAGACTGAGCTTCCTCATATGCTTGAATCTCTGCCCTCCTCCCTCATTTATTCCAGGATACCACTTTGGGGAGCCCAGGTGACATTTCTGAGCACTGCCTCCCATCATAAAACAACCCAGCATCACTGCAAACTTGATTTAGATTGATTTAATAGCTCAGTGGGTCCAGTTCCTGGATGTGCTAATTTTCCCAGGCAAAGGCGACCAAAAGATGATTTTCTCCATCAGCACAGGGCAGAACATTTTTTTTTTGGGGTGGACAAAGGAAACTATGCCTGGTGGACATAACCTAAAAAGACAAGATCATAACTTCATCCCAGACAGTAAAATGCTAATTTGTTTTTAATTTCTGGAGTGGTTCAGCCTTAAAAATCGTGCAGTTAATCCATTGATTTCCTTAATAAAATGTCATTGCTTCACAAAATACACTACACAAACTTCACTACCCAAAAAGCAGTTTGTGTAGGGGTGGAGGTTGCCATCTTACATTATATTTTTTTAGACGATGGAAAAAGCACCTACTTATAATATGACAATACAGCAGGGAATTTATCCTTAATTGTAATAGTACAATCCTAATCCTTGTAAATTCAAATGTAGCCCCACTGAGTTCAACAGGTAGGTGGGAATAACTGTGCGAGACCCACTATGGAGTACTCCATTAACCCAATTTTCTGGGTTAGTGGAGTACAAACAGGCTGTATTTACAGGACAAACTGCACCATCAATTAACCATGCGGGATGGGTGTGCACAATATGCTTGGCCAACTGGTAAATCGAGGCTATGTGATATTTGAAGAAAGTAGAACTTCCCCCAGAGGAAATTAATGAGATTAATTATAGGGTTTATCCCAAGCATATTTCAAAAATAAGTTTCATAAAGTTCAATGGATAAAAAAATCACAAAGAAGGTATAATTGCGCCCAGTGTAATTTCCCCCATAAAATGGTGTTTTTCTTCTGCCTCCACATATGTGAAAGTTCTCCTAAAGTCAGATTGTGAATATAAAAGAAAAAATATATAAAAGTTTAAGAAACAGCCACAGCACTTAAATCCAAGGATCATCTTGTTCTCATCCTTTTATACTTTTTTTTTTGAGTCAGTTTTGACTCTTCTGGCTGCCTGGACAAAAATCCTTGCAGTTTTCTTGGCAAGATTTTTGGGAACTGTTTGCCCTAGCCTGCTTCCTAGAGCCGAGTCAGAATGACTGGTCAAGGTTACCTGGCTGACTTTAGGTCTAAGGTGGGACTAGAACTCAGGATTTCCTGGTTTCTTGCCTGGCACACCAAACTGGATTTCCATCCTCTTTTTAAGCAATGCCTATAGATTCTCCCTTTGTCCAACTTTAGACAGCCTTTCCCATTTGATCTGTCTGAAACTGGAGTGGAGTTCAGAGATAGAACTTATCCAGAAGGCCTCACTTCCTCTGGATTTAAAGAGTAGTGCAGGCTCAAGTGCTTTTTGAGCCAATCAGGTCACCCTTTCCTGATCTGTAAATATTATGTTACTTTCCCTTAGCCCAACTGGTTTGAGCCCAGCCAGACTTAACTAACCTTCACCCTCAGTCAATCAGGCCTGAGGAGCTGAAGTGCCCGGTGCCCCATTGCTCTTGGCGGGTCTCCACTAACTCATGTGCTCTTTCCCCAGAAGGTTCTCCGTGCAGCGCTGTGCCCGCTGCCACCTGGGCATCTCTGCTTCGGAGATGGTGATGCGGGCCCGGGACTCGGTCTACCACCTCAGCTGCTTCACCTGCACCACGTGCAACAAGACGTTGACGACAGGTGACCATTTTGGCATGAAGGACAACGTGGTCTATTGCCGGGCACATTTTGAGAGCCTGCTCCAGGGCACCGACCCAGCCTCCTACCCACCGGCTTCACTCAGCTATACCGAGCTGGCAGCCAAGGGTGGTGGCCTGGCCCTGCCTTACTTCAATGGCACCGGTACAGTCCAGAAAGGGCGGCCTAGGAAAAGGAAGAGCCCAGCTTTGGGCGTTGATCTGGTCAGCTACAGTTCAGGTGGGTTGTAGAATAATCCTCTTTGGGAGAATCTCAGGGATCTTAACTATATACAGTACTTGGAGTCATGCTTGCTTTTTTTTCCTGAAGGATGCTGGACACCATTTTTTCCCCCTTGTAACCCAGTTTGTGAACTGCAGAGCAGGATATTTTTTAGGTCATTTCAGAGTTTCTTAGCCCTCCCTCAAATAATCTTTTTATCTTAACCTTTAATAAATATCTTGGCAGACATTACTGTGGGCAAGAGACTATTGGATTAAAGGAATGAACAAAATCGGCCTTTAAGCCAGAAATGAAATATGCTTTTTGAAGAATAGGAACAAACATTGCACAGAACATTCCCGAGATTAGGGAAACATAGGTTATGTACACACACACACACACACACACACACACACACACAGAGAGAGAGAGAGAGAGAGAGAGAGAGAGAGAGAGAGAGAGAGAGAGAGAGAGAGAGAGAGAGAGAGATCTGTGGTTAATTTAACCTGGTTTTCCTCAATCAATGCAATTTCATTGGTTCAAGAACATGTGGAAATATAAACTGAGTACAGGGCTGGTCTCATACTGCTCATTAGATCAAAATGTGGTTGGTTTATTTTGCCAGTCCAGTTTTTGCAATTTAGAGGATTATGTGAATCCCTTATGTTTAGTATTGCAATCTGCCATTGAATTCAAACTATATTTTAGATAAATATTGCCTGTATCTGCTGCTTGTCTCAAAAGAGTTCTTTAGAACATTTGGAAATGCAAATGTATTTCTTTTCCTTGTTTTCCTTAGCAACACCTTGCCTTGCACATCAAGTTTGGTCTAGTTTACAATAAGCATATTTCCAGGCAAGTAGAAGGAAGGCAGAAAATATGCTGTTGATATTTAATTTTAAATATACAAAGTACACCACTTTATGTCTGTAAAGTGAAAAGTTAAAACAACTTTGCAAGGTAGGAGAGTCTGATCTGCCTTCTCTACCAACGACAAGTTGCTGAAAAATAAGGAGTTTCTTTAGACTTTAGGGTTTGTGACGCCATGGTGTTGGATCTGGAGACTTCTTAGATCAGAAATTTTTTGCTTAAAATGCAAATCTTAACTATGGCTAATTTGAATCCAATTGTTCAACAGAGCCTCCTTTCTTACAGAAAAATAAAACAAAGCTACATTTGTCTATTTGCTAGAAAGTTCTGTTCAACCAAGTCAGCATTATCTGTTTCTGAGAGGAAATAATTTTTTAAAAAGTTTTCTGGGGATGTTTATAAGTTTCTGCTATTGACCTTCCCTATACTTGATGTTTGGGAATTATACAATCCATTTATCACTAGGGTTGCCAGGTCTGCTTCCAAAAAATAGCGGGACAAGCGGGGGGTGGGGGTGGTTAAGTAGTAAAAAAAGTACAGCTTTAGATTCTGTACCATTTCATCATAAAGCTTTTGAATAAAAAAAGTGTCCACTATTTTTCATCATAAAGCTTTTGAATAAAAAAAGTGTCCACCATTTTGTGAAAAAAAATAGTGAACATAATGTGAAAAAAGTGGACTGTCCACTCAAATAGTGGACACCTGGCAACCCTATTTATCAGAGTTAATAAAACAATCGGATTTATTACCTTAGTACAATTTGAAAACCTTAGTAGCACAATACCCTCACTGTGGTGGGATAAACCCTTTTCCCATTTAGGGTTCATCCTCAGAACGACCACAAAAAAGCTGAAATGCTAAAGGTGGAGCCCCCCCCCCCCATATTTAAGCAGAGTTGCAACCTATTTGTTCAAGTCAGAAACCAATCTGGTTCTCAGGTACTCTGCAGTTAACCCCAGTGGATTTCTTGGCGCTCCTGTTGAAGAAAACGTGAGCAGGCGATTTCCCCGCTCTTGCTGCGAAAAAGCCCTTTCCGAGAACCGGCGGCCCTGGTTCCGAGCGGTCCCGAAGATTGCCGAGCGGACCCGAAGGGACTCCGCGAGACCTCCCCTTCGTGAAGCGTCGAAGATCGAAGCGGGCCGTCTGTTCAGTTCTCTGACGTAAGCCACGGGCAACTCGGCCGGCTCCAGAAGGATAGAGCGGTCGCCTCTATGCTCCCGCGCGAATTTGAACCTTCTGAAAAGGCGGGAAGGGGAGCCTGGGCCGAGGCAGGCGGAACGGGTTAGTTTGGATCGGACCTTCGGGCAGGAAATAGCCTGAAGCCAGGTTCCTTTTTCGAAAAGCGGAAAGGCCGAGGCTTTGGCTACTTAATCCTCTGATGCAGGTCCTTAGAACGGCGTTCGACCCTATGGATAAAACAAGCTAACAATCATTGTTTCTCAACCTTGACCATTTTAAGGCATGTGGACTTCAACTCCCAGAATTCCACAGCCAGCGTTGCTGGCTGTGGAATTCTGGGAGTTGAAGTCCACATGCCTTAAAATGGTCAAGGTTGAGAAACACCGAGCTAACTGCAGTCGGTGCAAGAAGGCCCGGCGGCCGCCTTCCCAGCTGCAACCCGCGAGGACCGAAGGGGCTGGGGTTTCCTGGGGCTGCGTAGACCCGCTCTTAGCCCCTTTGGAGTTGGAGGTCCTGCAGCAGCCCAGAAAAAATGGGTTAATCCCGTAACCGGTGGAAGGCTTTGTCTGAAGAACCCCCCCCCCCAGTGCTGCGGGACAGAGGGCTCTCAGGCGGGGGAGGGGGCAGAAGGAAGCCGAGCGGTTTTTAATTGTTCGCTGTTAATTGGAGCTGGCACCGGCACCTCTGGCAGCGGAGCCGCTCGGAGGCCAGGCGAAAGGCCAGGGAGCGCTGGGGCGCCTCTTCCCGCCGAGGCAGGCCGGGCCGCATCCACCGGGGAGGGGCCGCCGCAGGGCGTGCCGTCCCTGGCGGCGGGGGGGAGGAAAGCTTGCGCCTGGGGCTAGTCTTGCTTTGAAGCAGGCAGCCCCCCCCTCCTCCACTTTCTTCTCCGTTAGGAATGCGAATGGGGGGAGGGGGCTGCAAGTTTGAGCCCCCTTCTCTTAAGAGGGGGGCTAAGACGGGGCGGGGGCGGTTTGCTCTCGAGGAAAGCGGCCTTTCCTTGCCCCTCTGCCCCGGTCTTATTTCAGAGGGAAAGAGAGGGGTTGGAAGTCACCCAGCTGTAGGGTTGCCAGGTCTGCTTCCAAAAAATAGCGGACAAGCGGGGGGGGGGGGGTTAAGTAGTAAAAAAAGTAGACTGTACAGCTTTAGATTATGTACCATTTCATCATAAAGCTTTTGAATAAAAAAAATGTCCACTATTTTGTGGAAAAAAATAGCGAACATAATGTGAAAAAAGCGGACGGCCCACTCAAATAGCGAACACCTGGCAACCCTACCCAGCTGCTTCTGAACAGCCCCCCTTTCCCCAGGTTTACCCGAAAGTAAGTCACCCAACTCTCACCTTCGCAAAATGGCCCTTCCCGGTGCAATTGGATTGGTTTGCATTGTTTTCTGCCAAAAAAATAAAATAAAAAAGTTTATAAAAAGGAAAATTCGGGAGATATTTCTGAATACGTTCGTTTCACGGGGCTTCAGGCTTGAGTTGCTTAAATTTCAGGGCACAGCTATTTTAATTGTATTTAACGACGGGCTTGGTACCTTCGATTTTGTTGCGGTTCTTTCATTTCTGCCTCGGAGCGACTCAGTTTTAGGAACCAAATACTCCCCTCGAGAGAAGGCTTGTTAATACTAGCCTTTCCGAGAAGAGGAAAGCAAAAGTGAATGCAAGATAGTTTAGAAAACAGCGCGGGGACTCTCCCCAGACTGGCGAAAAAGTGACTTTCTCCGAATTACCTCATAAATCGGCTCCGATTTATTTCTGGGGTGGCGGATTGTGCAGGAAGATTTCCAGGTCGATCGCTCCTAGAATTTATTCAAGAAGAGCAGTTCGATAGCGGCATGTGTGGCGTCTGACTGGAATAGTTCGTTCGTTTATAATCGTACTGAAAAATAAAAACCAAACCAAACCGGCTACTTTTCCCAGCTAGAAAGCTTTAATCAAGAAGACTAAACGAATGCTTTATTGCTGAGAGCGAAAGAATGTGGCAGTAAATAATGGACACATAACGAAATATTTCCATGCAGATAAACATATTTTTTATAAGATGGCGCTAAATAATTTGTAGAGAATTAAATGCTAATCATATAATGATTTCTCCCCCAATTTAACATAGCCTGAAGTTAATGAGTTTAGAGCCACTTTGTCTAACGGTAAAGACACCAAGCTAGAAACCTGCATTCTAGTCCCACTTTAGCCATGAAAGCCAGCTGGGAGACCTTGGGCCAGTCACTATCTGTCAGCCCAATCCATTTCGAAGGGTTGTGGAGAAAATAGGAGGAGGAGGAAGGTGTGTTGGATATGTTCACTGTCTTGGGTTATTGATAAAAATAATAAAGGTGGGATATAAATACATACATACAGGGTTCCATTATTCAGTTCCTATGGTTTTCAACAGGAGAGTTAAATACCTCTTTAAATTTTTCCTAGTTTCCTAGAACATGATGCAAATAATTTTGAGGCTGGCTGGGTTGTGCCCCAAATTAGTTTGGCCCATTTCATTATTTGAGGTTGTAGAAGTAGGCAGATTTTACCATCATCACAAAGAAATGATCAGGCCAATCATATTGTCTACACATGGCTATTGTCTATTAAGTTTCTGACCAAAGTTACTAGGATTTGGACCTTAGCTGTGATCCAAGAAAGCTGGTATCCAAAGATATAGTGTTATTTTCCTGCTTTATTATTGGAATACTAAATGTTAAGGAAAATAAATGTTTTAATTCATATTCATCCAATTGTAGTGTAATGCTACACATTTACTGGAAGGGTAAAAAACTAATAGCTAAAGAGACTACCATCTTTATCTATCTATCTATCTATCTATCTATCTATCTATCTATCTATCTATCTATCTATCTATCTATCTATCTATCTATCTATCTATCTATCTATCTATCTATCTATCTATCTATCTATCTATCTATCACCTATCCACTTACATCTACTTAACGTAATTTGCTTTTCCAAGATT